TTAACTTTTGAAGTAACTAAATCCTAAAAATATACCTTAATTTCACAAAAAAAATCACAATCTGACACAGTTAAAAGGAACACATTTGATATTTTTAAACTTTAACCTAAATAAAAAAACTCATTTTAAACAACTCCATTGTTTTTTCATCCGGTTTCTTTTTTTTAGAAGTAAATTACTTTCTCTCGTTTCCTCCACTTTCTCCTTTTTCATTTTCATCTGTATTTTCAAGCATTTTTTAATATTTTTAATGGAGAGGCGAAGAACAGGTTTAATTTTTTCCTCTAAAATATTTCGTACATTTCTGTGGCATACTCAAAGTACCTTTGTTGCCGTCCCGTTTTATTTTGGCTGTCTATATATTTTTTGTAGGCCCTTTCATCAAGCACCCTCTATTTGTTTATTATTATTTCCAAATAAGTTATGCAGGCTTTGTTATTTACTTTGTGTATTCATTTATAGTTCTTTATAATATAAATAATAATTAATAGAATAACTAAAAGAGTCGTCGGTTCATCTTCTTCGTCTTCTATTTAATCAACTAACCGCTGACAGTGCTTTTTACTTAACACATTCACTTTTATATTTGGTTTCATGTTGTTCGTTGTTCCAACAGATTGAAATAACCAGTCTTGTACTAGTGTAATTTATGTAAATGCGCAGATAAAGCAGTTTGAGAACTGTCAGAAATCAATCACTGATTGCTTGTTGAAATAAACATAATTATGTTTTTAGAATGTAGAATAAAACCTGATCTGCTCATTAGCACACAAAAACTTTTAATTAATGGATGGAAAAATCGTTGAATAACTAATTAAAATTAATAATGATAAAGAAGGACAAAATACTAATATGCTTTTATATGTACCCAATGAAATGGTAATCATTTTCGTCTTTATTATGATATAATTTTCACAATTTACTGTGTAATATTTATCACAAAAATCTGTATCGTTAATTTTAGCCCCTCAAATTATTAAAGGAAAAATTTGGCTTACCTTGTTTAAATATACGGAGAAAAGGTAAACCGTAATTTATTGTTGGTAAGGTTTCAAGCCATTATTTTTGTCGTGAACTGGCTGTATGTATTGTTAACCTTCAAATATCAATAATATAATTTAATTAATCGTATCACTGGACCGAGGTTTCGTTTTTTTCGTTCATATTATCCACAGTTTAACGAAGGCACATCGTCCAACGATACCATTACCTAGAACTCGGAACAAGACTGAACGAATTTGTTTTGTTTTTGGTCAAAGTAATTGTTTTTAGTCAATGTTATTGCCAGAATATTTTGTTCGGTTAGTTATATATGACAGTAAATGTCAGTAAACGACGAGACACGAGAATTGTCAGTGTCATGTTTGTTTTGTGTGTCGTTCAGTCTGGTTCCGAGTTCCAGGTAATGGTATCGTTGGACAAGGTGCGTTCGTTTAACTGTAGATAATATGAACAAAAAAAAAACGGAACCTCTGGCCAGTGATATGATTAATTAAATTATAATAATGATAATTGAAGGTTAACAATACAAACAGCCAGTTCACGACAAAAATAATTGCTTAAAAGCTTATCAACAATAAATTACGGTTAACCTTTTTTCCATATATTTAAACAAGGCGAGTAGAATTTTTCCTTTAATAATTTTAGCAGCTAAAAATGAACGTTACAAATATTATTATCACAATCAAATAAAATTGACTTCTTACGTTTCGAAGATAAATACTATTCAAATTGAAAATATTTCCTTACCTACAAAAGTAACGGATAAAAAATGGAAACGACTCACAGAATTTGTTAATCTTCTAATCCTTTCGTCCTGTCAGCCGGTTGATTTTCACTGGTACAACGTACACCAAAGAACATCAATAAATATGCTTCGAAGTGACCAATTTGTTTATTAATAAAACGGCCTTTATTGTAGTTAAGCGCACTGTAATTCATTTATTTTAAAACAACTTTGATTATAAAAAAATAACACAAGAACATGAGTTAAACCATGTAAAAACGAGCTTCCTTCTTCAAGTCTCGCGTAGGAATGTGTTCATTGTTTGCGCACATGACGCTTGCCTCTATCGTCTATTTCTTTAGGCCGCCAGTGGCGTGCGAGAATAGAATATTCAACAAATTATTCATTTATTTTTTCTGATATTAGAAAAAACTACAAAAAAGAAAAAAAGAAAGAACAAATGGGAGAATTAGAAAAAGAAGGAACACCAAAGATGGAAACAGTGGATAAACAAGGAACAGGAGAAGAAACTGAAGAGGAAAGGAGGATATGATGTTCAAAATGTTAGCCTTTCTGAAAGAAATGAAGAAAGGACAAGAAACGATAGGAAAGAAATTAGAAGACGTAAGGAAAAAATGGTCGTCTGTCTTCTTGTTGTCTTCTTAATATTTTTTTATCTCTGTCTATTCCCCGTCTCCCTATCAACGGTAGCCCAGGGTCGCCGCATCAGGATCAGGATGCACCTCAAAGGTGAACGACTATGATATACCTGCTTAAGGTTTAACATAATTGTGACATTAGTTCCGACATTGACACTTGAATAACCTGAAATAAAATCGACCTATAGCTCCTAAACTAAAATGACATGTCAAAACTAAAGGTAAAATTATGTGGGGATCACGATGTCTCCTCATATAATTGTCCCGCTTAAAACCCATATAAAATAAAAATATAAAACTAACCGTAAGTTATTGGATTTAATACAAAAGAAATAGACCGTCAGATAGTGACCGATTTAGGTGCCCCATTTTCGCATACAAGCCTTGAAGAAGGTTTAAAAGTACATTGATGTTGAGTAGAATAAAAGAAAATTTACGAGTGGCTCTTAGGGATAACACATGGAAAATTCGATTTTCCTTATCAGAAAAATTTTCCGTCTCCAAAATGCACTAATACATTCAGGTCATTTAAGAAAATATATTTTTTGGACTAGTGACGATGTACGTTTTCATACATTCGATGGGATTGTGTGGAAAAATCTGGTAAAATCACGATTTTCCCTTAGAAGATTACGTCCTTATTTCAACTCTTTAGCCACTTGCAACATTAAAGCCTTTGGTTTTCCGAAGCCTAGTTCTATTAATTAATCATATAGTGAAAATGGCTTGCGTGAAAATATGGACAACAAATAACCTTTTATTTTTGTTGGGAAAAATCGAATTTTCCATCTGTTATTCCTAGGAGCCACTCGTAAATTTACTTTCATTCTACTTAAAATCGATGTACTTTTCAACCCTCTTCGAGGCTTGCATGCGAAAATAAGGCACCTTAACCTGTCACTATCTGACGGTCTAAAACCCTTTTTAACTGGTTTCTCAACACTATGAACAATATTTTGTTCTGCCATTAAAAAAACTGGCTTCAACCTATCTATGTTGATTAATGATTTTTTACAAACATTAAAAATCGTTTCTACTGATACTTATATGGCCCTTCAATAGAGGAGCGTCTAATTGTAGCTCTGTTAACCAAAGTTGTCACATGTACACAATTTTTTAAGGCGGAAAATTTGAAAGTTGTATCAGTTATATCCGGTTATGTATGTTATATACGTCTCATAACCCTTATCTCATATATCAAATTGCAGGCAATAACAACTTCCTTTCTAAAAACCATATCATGTAACAGCTTTCGCAGAATACAGCGTAGATGCACGTGCACTTTTGTTGATGCTGAGGTCAGCATATGCGACCTTATATATAGGACCATTTTTGTATTATACTTTAGTTTTTAACTCACATTCATACACACTACTTGTACTTCTTTTCAATATACGTTTTACAAAATATTACCTTTTTTTAAAAAGTTAAATTAGATCCATGCGATTTAACATGTATGTAATATGGATATGTAATATGGATACCGAAGTTGTGAATGCGACGCTCGAACTATATTTTCCAAAAGATTGGATTTGTCATGTTTGAATTTAAAAAAAAATATCAATTAGCTTACCACGAAATAAGAAAGAGAATGAGTATGATGACAACCATCGATATACCTCATTCTAAAACTTTGAGTCATATACAGCGTAGCGCGAACTAAAGTGGACCATTTAAAATAAATTAAAAATTGTATGACGATGATAATGGTTTATATCGAAAGAAGTTTATTTCACAATCATTGTAATCTACACAATAATTCATGTATTATAGCAATAATACACTATAGTAGGTATTACGTATTAATAGCAAAACAAAATTCAGTCAACTGGATGGATCAAAAGCAGTGATGACGTAGGAATTACAATAGGTTTGTTTTGGTTTAATCAGAACCCTCGATTCCAGTTTTAATATACAGTTGACAAATTCATGTTTAAAGAATACGTCGCGATTTACTACAACCTATATGCTTATTATTGAAATTATTTTTTTAAATATCTAATGTCAGTGCCAATTACAAAAAGAGAAAAAAAAGACAAATACAGAAGTAAAATGTTATACTATTATTTCTCCTTTATTTAGCAAAGCTGATAGCATATTACAATTAAATAAAATTACAAATAAATATTTCTATATCTAAAATACTTTAACACTTTAAAATATATGGAAAATGGGAAACAGAAGGTTAAGGTGTTTTTCAGATACTATAGAGAATAATATGGGGTGCCAAAGAGTAGTGTTCTGGGTCCGCTACCGTTTTTAATTTATATTAATGATATTGCTGGTGTAGTCGAAAAATGCTCAATACACTTATTTACGGATGACACCCTGATATATTTTACCCATGAAAGCACTGAAACTTGTTTAAAAGAAATTATTCTCGATAAAAACAATTTTTTAATTCACTGTCAAAACATCTTCGATTTTCATCTGATAATATAAAATAATCAAATATTTATTTGGTTGTAACAATATTTACAAATATTCGTGTTCATTATTTACAGAATTTGATATAAATTCAATCTTATTTAGAATTAAGTTTCCTTTCGATACAGTTGGACCTTGTAATTGCTCTTTAGACAGTTTCCTTTTTTTTAGTACTGAAAAAAGTTAACTGAAGGTTCATTTTTAGAGCTTGAGGCAAAAGCATGCTCTTTCTGAGTTTTTTCAATGAATATATTTTCTTTTTTAAGCGTACTTACTACATGATTTAACACTTGTATATCAATAGAAGTAACGACCTGTTTGTTCAATTTTTCTGTTTTAGAAAAAATATTTTCTAATATTTTGTTTTTATTGTTACTGCTACTACCGACGCCTTTATTACTCTGTGCCAAAGTACTTAGATGAGCACCAATTTCTTGTTCATCAATTGATTTGATATTGTCATAGTTATTTGACTCATTAAAATATTGTTGGTCGGATTTAATACTACATAATGAATATGTTTACAAATTGTAGCATGTATAAAATAATCTGTACATGTGCACGTAAAAGAATGAACACATATTCCACATAAATCACATCTTAAACTACAACAAGGACTGGTCACCAAACATTTGACTTCATATAGTTCTTTACCTGAAATAACTTGCCATGTATTTGTCGATAAATTTTTATTTTAAATTAATCTTTATTTTGAGCACCTCTATGTCGTTCATTAATATCTTTAATATAGCAGTTATTTTTACCTTTGGTTCGTTTTATTTTTCTCCCTCTACTACTTTGTATAAATTTGTTCAAAGCAAAATGACCTTTATCCAGCCTTTTAACTTTTTTTCCATCTAAATACAAATATTTTAACGTTTTATGCATACTTTCCAGTCTCATATTTGTGTTTATTCCAAGATTTTTGCGATAACAATATGCCCATTTTTTATAGTTCTGCAAATAATTTTCCCTAAAATATTGTTTAAAACAACAACGAGCTTTGTCAGTTGCCATTACATTTATTTAGTTTATTAATAGACCATGGAAGTCACTTTCACAAACTTTTGCAAAGTTTTTAATGAATGGTACATAACTTTTATTTTTTCTAAATCTGGGATTTTGTTCAAATTTGATTGCCATGCTCGGTCAATATGCCATGCACAGTAAATCTGATTTGGTACAGGTCCCATCACTTTAACCCATGCTTTATAAAAAACATTTGTGATGTCTGTCATAAATGTCTTATGCAAGTGGTCGTAGAAAAAATATTGTACATCACTTATATATAAGTGTTAACAGTTATGAAAAAATAAATACTGATAATAACGAAAATATGGATTTTCCATCCAACGATTATTCACATTACTTAAACAGAGAGAACAGTAGAACTAAACTCTTATCTAAAAAACAAAATCTATGTCATTTTCATGAAATACATAATGCAACCCACTTTTTTTAATTTGTTCAAAAAAATTTTTATAATTGAATGTGTCCTCTCTATTTGACAACAAACAAGCCCCAGGAAATCCCTCACCCCAATCATCTATTACAAGGACAGTTGTTGTCAATAGAAAATCGTAAGAATTTAGTCCATGAGTACTATCTACTGCAATAACATTTCCACTATTCTGCGAAGCATATCCTGTTGAGATGAATTCATTATTATTATTACAAAGTCGTCCATTTTAAGTTCTGTATATTTTTCCCCTTGTGACTTCTACAGTAAAATAGGGTTATTTTCCATCTTTCGGCATTTTTCAACAAATAAAGCAACACTAGTTGCATCTTCAGAATATCTAACTCCTTCCTGAATTTTAATATTGAAAGATTCTTTAATATTATATACATCTTTTCTAGTTAATAGATTAATGCGTATAATTTTATCTTCACAAAAGTTATCTCTATTGTTATCCAGAATTCTAAAATAAAAACCATTTTAAAATAACATATAAAACTTAAGAGATCAATGTTATGTTTTACCCTAAACCAGATACCCACTATAACTAATATACTTACCTTGTGATTGGTACACCATTGGCCAAATTTCTAACTATATTTGCTTTTTCGTTTTTGGGAATACGAAGGTGTTGAATCTGTCATGTCATGTCCATAATATGATGTTATAGAACGCTGTACATTTGTTTCGTTTCTTAACAACTTTGATATAACTTGTGCAGCCATATCCCATTTTAGTTCGCCCAGAACTTTTTTCAAGCGTTTTCTGAGTGTTCACCTGTCGGTATTTTCCTAAAAAAAATTAATGCCACATAACTTTTTGAAATTTTAATCTATTTAGGATTATTATGCTTTATTATAAATCAAACTTTTTTTAGTTTTATCACATAGTTTTCTAGGATTTAAATATGACTCGCACTGTTGCGTAACATAGTCGTAGTGACTAAACTCTTCTTTAACCCATTCAGTGCCTACCAATAAATGTAGTAACTTATTTTCAAAGCAGACCAATAAATATCGCTAATGCTTCGATAGGCCAGCCAATAATTACGACAAATAATTTCTGAATTTCATTGCTTTTTTTACTTTCCTGTCTGTAGACAAAAATGGTTGATTTGCTGTTGGTCGTAGTCGGAGCATCGGGGGGGGGGGGGGGGGTACTTATAGAAGAGGTTCGTTTTTCTACTTTAAGGAATAGATCTGTTATTTACGCTTGGAGAAGAAAATTCTTTAAATTAAAGTTGTTTGTGATGACATTTTCTATAATTTTTGTTTTATACATGATTTCCCTAAAATGGACCGTATTAGACAAATTTGAGGAAACGTGTAAAATTCTAATTTTTCTCATTATTTTCATTGATAATGAGGTTATGAAAAAACGTTTTAAATAAAATGTGTGTGGAAAATGTATCTATATATTTATTTCGATCATTAAATACTATGGAATAGATGGACCGTACTCAACATTTTTGATAAAATTAATAATAACTTTAGGTAAGACAGGAAAGTAATGTGTTTGACAAATCAGATTTTTTATTAATGTATCACATGTAACTAAATATCAAGTTTTTATATTCTATTTTTTTGATAATGAAAAATTTAAACAATCAATTCAGCGCCATTAATTATTTGGCAACTAACGTCCAAAGTCAATCATTCAGTAGATCTGGTCAAAAATTATGGCAAATAATTGAGTTTTGTGACTTTTCTTAAATATTTTTATAGTCATAATTACCGATAAAGAAAGTCACAACTTTTATTTCTATTTTTATACAAAATAAAAATGAAACTATTACAGAGAAAACTACCTAAAACTGCAAAAAAGTATTGAAATTTTTAATAAAAAATGTTTTAAAAATTTTTCACTTTGTGGTAAGTTTTAAAACATGGGTCCACACATAATGCAACGTTGCAAGATGTGCATTGGTATCTTAATTCTCTACGATTTCCTCGTTTTGGACAGACAGTTCATTTATTTCAATTTTGTTTTATAATCAGGTTATCATTTAGCAACATTGGCGTTCGTGTTCACTGTTTATATTCCAATTTGCATTAATTATATATCGTTTTTCTTACTTGTTAGCTTGAAATTTGTGAGATAGTGTTTATATTAAAAATGAAATTTGCGAAAAAGCCCCCAACAAATTTTTCCAAGCGTAAATCTTAAAATTCTTATGATTAATTCACATTACTGAGATTTTGCAAAATTTTGTCTAAAATCAAACTTCAATATCTGCATTGTAAGTTTTATTATCGTTTACAAAATATGACAATGTTAATACAAAAATCACTTGAAACTTTAGTTGGCCATGCATTTCTCGTTTAAATCTAACAAATAGCAAATTACTTTTAGTAAAACACAATAATTAAAACTAATAATATTAATAATAAATAAAATCTACATACTACCAAATGTTTCACGTGATTTATTTTATTCACATTGTCACATGTATTGATTTATTTTTTCTCGTTCTTCTCGAAAAATATTGTTTATATAAAAATAAGAGGAGAAAGAAAAGTTTTAGAATAAAATTTTACATAAAATAAAATTAAAATTTTAAAAATCTGCCGATAAATAAAAAAGTTCTGTATAGTAATATAGGTGGGTTAACCCAAAACAACCCCTTTAAATATTTATTCGTTGCGTCACCCACAACACGACTCCGCAAATTCTATTTTTCAAATGACTTCAAATATATTACTGAACAAATGCATAGAGACCTTAGTAGAGGTATAGACAACACATTGTACATGATGGTTAGCGCTGGAATCCACTAGGCGTTTCAGAAAAAAATATTGAAAAGGTGGTTAATAATACTAACCAGTGGCCCTCAAAGGGTTAAAAAATATAGACATGCATGAGTGTATATACGAAGTAAATTGAATTGAATATATACAACTATAAATAAATTTATAGAACAAAACTTACCGAATTCACTGGAAGAAAATAATTAAAACAGGTAGCACCAAACTCCATTGTAAGATAATTAGTAACACGAGTATCACCACATTCAATTTTAAAACAAACTAATATATTTTCACAACTGAACATTGTTTATATTTAAATCCGGGTAAGTAAGTACCACCCCTTTTCTACCTAAAACCGAGGATTATCTTTGAACTGACCAATAGGGGTTAATAAAATCCCAGTAGCTAACTTGAGATTTGCGACGTTGCCAATAGTGACAAATTTGACATTTTCCAATTTAATAATTTTAGATGGCATTACATAAGGCGCAAAAGTTAATACTTGTTTCAATAATTAAAAAGTAACATTTTATATTACTACCATTCCTTTTCCTTTTCTTTTGAGTCGGGAAAAAGTTTGAAATTGTATCTCTCTTGTCAGATAACAAAATGCCACACATTTTATAAAATTACTTTTTTCCCCGTTTTCCGGGAGGAAAGTGTATCCCGAGGAAAAAGTGAGTACTTTCTTCCCAGATATATACGCATATGTTAGAATATTTTTTTCAATATTAAATCGTTTTTCCCGTCACAGAAAACAATAGTGTATTATAACGAGAAAATTATTAGATTATATAATAACTAATAACTATTTATTTTTCTTGAAATACGTCAATAAAGGCAGTAAAACTTTTTAAAAGTTGAAGTTATTGCAATGTCAAAATCACAAAAATGCAAGAGCTAAAGAAACACATTATTAAATGGTTACAAAATTTTCTTGTTTAGATAGTACATAATAATAAAAGCAAATATTGTAATGCGTACGAAAAATAGTTAATTGACAGTTTTTTTAATAACTATATTTTACAAAATGCCTAATTTCAATTCTTTTTTGCAATCATTTTAGGTAAAAGTTAATAGTATGACTGTTTTATTTTGAAAGTTCGACATTATGATTATTTTATGGTTGGAATGATTTTATTATAATAAAGACAAATTTATTAAAAATGCGGAAAAAACTGTGTCCCAAAAATTTAAAACCAATTCGTGTGAAAGTACATATACCTTTACACGCTGAAACAGAAATGCTATTTAAAAAAAAAATAATTTGTAATCGTCACCAAGTTTTTTTTTTTTTTATTTTGACTGAACCCTAAGATGGAAAAGTTTTCCGAAACATATGTAGTGCTGTGCTAAACAATAGAAAATAACAACTACCGAATAAACCAAGGACATTTTTATTTATATAAAATTCTGCTACGGTCAAGAAATTATTTTTATTCAAAGAATATTTAAAGACGTTCATGATTTGTGAAAAAAATTGATGTCTAATTTAGCCTTTTTAACTATCTGCATCTCGGTGACTAAACTATTTAAGGGTTCATGATTTTATATCAAAATTCGACTAGTAACTAGAGCTCTCTGTAATGGAGCGTTGTCAGTACACTAGCTATTTTTATCACACAACTACGGACAAGGAGTCTGTCAGACTCCAACTCGAAACAAATGTAATGTATTTTTTATACTTTTTTTTTCTGTAAATAATTATTAAACAATGTTTATTTTATGTAGTTTATTTGAAAAAATATACATTTCTTACAAAAAAATAAAGAAAATGAAAAAGTAAATTCTCAAAAATTTTTCCAACACCAAGTCAAATTTAATTACATAGTATGTTTATACACTAAAGAATCGAAAAAGAAAATGCAAAAATATGAATGTAACACTTATACAAATTATAATAAGTAAAATGAAATTCTTAAGCAAAACTATAAAAAAAAAGTGCGAGTCAAATTTTTAACATAATTTTTTTTGCTTAGTCTCGTTCATTCACACAGTTTAAGCAACATTTTCTCGAACATTGCAGACAAATAGGCTTTCTACATTGTTTACAAGTAAATGCAGTCTTTCTTTTCAATTTAGAAGGACATATGTAACAGTATTTCCGAATTTTAAGTCGTTCTTCATTTAAATCCTGCGCCTCATTAGGTATTTGCAAAATCTGACAAATCAATGATTTTACTCCCCTATTTATCTGCGGTTTTTGCAGTCTCTCACGTAAATGATTTTCTATCAACTGGCTTGCTAATTTTTTCACGAAGATGAAACGGTTCATGTCATTTCCTGGATATGATGAGTACAGTATGTAGGAGTTTGTACTGCAAATGTCCAACAGTTTATAAAATATTGTCATAGGCCACCTCCTAGTGCGACGACTGCAGCTATATTTAGCACATTTTTCATCCATTGCATCCACTCCACCCTTTGTTGAATTATAAAAGCTGATGATTTCTGGTTTTCCAGTTTCTGGATCAGTTGATTTCAAATGGTGCATAGATGATAAAAGAATAACTGCTTTGTTTCTCTTAGTGCTATATGAAATAATGGTCACATCTTTTTTGAATCCATAAACTGTATCACCTACTTCACGACCTCTTTTGGGTTGTAATTCTGGCGGAATTTCCCTCTTATTTTTCTTCAGTGTGCCAACAAATGTAAGTCCATTTCTAAGCAAATATTCAACAAGATCCATAGGCGAAAACCAATTGTCAGCTGTTATATTTCTATTTGAATTATATAAAGGCCTAGCGAGTCTCACAATTGATTGGGATGGTTTACTCAGCTTTTTTTCACTCTGTGATAATCCACGTCCATCAGTATCTTTACCGGCATAAATATATGCATTGTATAGATATTGTTCTTTAGAAAAAAAATAGGTATTCAAAGCTACGGTGGCGCCATCTATTGTCGAAAAAAAAAACGAAACTTTATTGTTCTATGGTAATAATGGTTTAATTAAAAAGTAAAACTATTTAACGACGAACACCATTTGAGCCTTGAACACATATTTGACGGTGTGGAAGGCTTAATACACACTGTGGGTTATGGAATATTTGAAAAAAAATGTATTATAGAGACGGACGGCCACCGGGTGACATGTTTTTTTTTCTTTCGAAAACATAACACTATTTAACGACTAATACTACTACGTGTATTTGATGGCGTGGAAGGGTTAATGTATACTTCTGGTTTTAAAATTTTTTTGTAATTCGTTTGAAAAGTTTAGTTCTTTAGAAAAATAGGTATTAAAAGCTACGGTGGCGCCATCTAGTGTCAAAACTTTAAATAGTACTAAAGTATTTTGTAGGGGCGCCATCTGTTATCTAAGAGCCTAACCTAAACAAAACTTTATTATTCCATCGTAATACTGATTTAATTTTGGTGAAATCTAAATTATAAGTATTTTTCTGTTTACGTAGATCGAAAACAAATCAGAAAAATTTATAAAAAAGTTATCCTGATTTAAAATTTTAAATTCAAGAATATACAATATTTTTTCGATTAACAATGACGCCATCTGAAGGCCGTAAAACGAACAATAAAATTTAAAAAAAAAGTGACAGCCAAAGAAAACTAACCCAATAATTTTTACTAGATATTTTATTTATTTAATAATAAAAAGTGCAAATTTAACTAAATCGATCAAGAAATAGAATTTTAATATATTTTAAAAATACATTGAATATTAAAAGCACCATATAAGAAGGTACACACACACACACACACACACACACACACACACACACACACACACACACACACACACACACACACACACACACACACACACACACACACACACACACACACACACACACACACACACACACACACACACACACACACACACACACACACACACACACACACACACACACACACACACACACACACACACACACACACACACACACACACACACACACACACACACACACACACACACACACACACACACACACACACACACACACACACACACACACACACACACACACACACACACACACACACACACACACACACACACACACACACACACACACACACACACACACACACACACACACACACACACACACACACACACACACACACACACACACACACACACACACACACACACACACACACACACACACACACACACACACACACACACACACACACACACACACACACACACACACACACACACACACACACACACACACACACACACACACACACACACACACACACACACACACACACACACACACACACACACACACACACACACACACACACACACACACACACACACACACACACACACACACACACACACACACACACACACACACACACACACACACACACACACACACACACACACACACACACACACACACACACACACACACACACACACACACACACACACACACACACACACACAACACACACACACACACACACACACACACACACACACACACACACACACACACACACACACACACACACACACACACACACACACACACACACACACACACACACACACACACACACACACACACACACACACACACACACACACACACACACACACACACACACACACACACACACACACACACACACACACACACACACACACACACACACACACACACACACACACACACACACACACACACACACACACACACACACACACACACACACACACACACACACACACACACACACACACACACACACACACACACACACACACACACACACACACACACACACACACACACACACACACACACACACACACACACACACACACACACACACACACACACACACACACACACACACACACACACACACACACACACACACACACACACACACACACACACACACACACACACACACACACACACACACACACACACACACACACACACACACACACACACACACACACACACACACACACACACACACACACACACACACACACACACACACACACACACACACACACACACACACACACACACACACACACACACACACACACACACACACGCACACGCACACGCACGCACAGGCCCAAGACCGAAATTAAAGAACGAGAAAGAAATAGGTACCTAGGTATGTTTAATAACCACGTGTAAAACTGATTTTATAACTTATATTTAATATAAATAATTTAAATTTTTCCATTCCAATACGAATACAATTTTCTTGTTTTTTATTATTTTTATTATTTCTATTATTTCTTTTTTTTTTTCTTCTAATCATTTTCTATAATTATTTATACCCTTTTTCTATAAGCCAAAATTCAAAATTTTTCTCAATACAAATACACTTATTTAAAAAAAATAAAACAATATTTACAAAAATATTTAAACAAAAAAATTAACAATTTACAACAATTAAGAAAACTTAACAAATTAAAAATAAATATGTATATATTTTAACAATTTTGTGAAAAAAAAATATATTATCTATGTAGACTGGATATAGAATGACTGGATGTAGACTGCGGACTGATGTTGTAGGGAGGTAGTACGAATGCCACTAGTAGTAAATATATATTATCTCTGTAGATCTGAAACAAAAGAAAGATATAATTAATAACATAATTAATAATTATTATAGTTAAAAAAATAGAAATAAAAAAATAATAATCACTTCTATGAATTTGGTCCTTCTTCTTCTTCTTCTTGACAATGATGTAATTTATAATGTTTTTTCATCTTTTCTACTGATGCAAAATATTTTAGACAGTCGTCGCACCGTAAACTTCTATCTAATATGGGCTTGCAATCAATCAAGAAAGTCTTCGAAGAAAATGGACGACTGCAGGAAGTAGACGACATATTTGAAGGCGTCGGAAGCTTCAGAGACGTCGGAAGCATCGAAGGCGTCTGAGGCGTCGGAAGCGTCAGAAGCGTCGGAGGCGTCGGAAGCGTCGGAGGACACGAAAACGACAGAGGGATCGAAGACGGAGGCGGCATTAAAATATCAGATGCAATCGAGTCGGTGGTGCAACTAGACGTACTTGCGTCATCGTCATAATATTGAATTGAATTCGTCAATTTGTAAGGTAGTCTCGTACTCATGGATAACGACTTGATGTGGTTTATAACAAATTTGAGGTATCTGAGTTTAGTTTGCGAATTTATACCAGTGAATTCATCAGCAAAAAACACATCGGTATCTTCGGTGGAAAACGTCAAATACCTCTTCCTATAAAACCACGCGACATGATTGAACTGAAAAGAAAAAAAAATTAAAGAAAACATAAATAAAAAAAATTAAAGAAAAATAAATAAAAAAAAATTAAAGAAAATAAATAAAAAAATATAAAGAAAAAATATATATACAATGCATCTCAATTTTTAAAACAAAAAAAAAACAAATAAAAAGTTTAATGCATATAAATAAACTTACATTCAATTCTTGCATCATATGATTATATCTATGGTAGCCTCTCGATTTGTTTAGCTTCTCTAGGGCATCATCCATTATCGTGTATTGTGTAATATTTGATAATTTCACGATATACTCCATGATAATTCTAAGGAATTTTGTAAATCCTATGCAATTTCTCTTTTTTTCCAAAAAGTGGTCTGTGTAAAAATGTTTAATATTTTTGCAACGTTTACATTTATCCATCTTTGTAGATGGATAGTAGGAAACGGCGGTGGTGGCGGCGACGGTGGTAGCAGCGGTGATAGCGGCGGTGGCAGCGGCGGTGGTAGCAGCGGTGATAGCGGCGTTGGCAGCGGCGATGGTAGCGACGGTGATAGCGGCGGTGGCAGTGGCGATGGCAGCGGCGGTGGTAACGTCGATGGCAGCGACGACAGCGGCAAAGGCGAATCAAGTGCAAAAGGAACACAAACGAATAGAAAGACTAAGAAAAAAACGATCAACAGTAATGAATTTAAAACTTTTAGTGAAAATTAATATAAAAAATATAAAATAATAAGATAAAAAAAAACCGAAATTGAAACAGTCAGTGATTATCAATTGTCCCGTACTTGCCGGCTTGGCACAGGTTCCTAGGGTGTCCCGTTAGACATTTAGTAATGTTTTCGGTGATATGAAAACTGTGATACTGGCAACTAAGTGGTGGTTTTAATGTACAAAGAAAATCAAAACACCCTAGAAACTGCTTACAAAATACTCTATCAGCATATTTAGGTACCGTGAACATAAGTACGTTAAAAATTAACCTAGGATCTATCGAATTTAAGAAAGCAAGTGCTGCGAAATATAGCCTATCTTTATATTTTAACTGAGTTTAAAAAAATGTTGCCCTTATAGCATTCGGCAAAGTTCCGACGTCATACAAAAACCGACTCCAAATTGAAAATCTCTCTGGGTTCGTCACTATAAGTGGTAGTCTGACAGACGGAAAAAGAACGGCTGGCAGACGAGACGTCGTGGCAAACGTCACAGGTCGGTGCAATGTCCGAGGTTGCATCGGCGTCGAGGCAACGCTCGATGATTGCCTGGTCTTCGAAGCAACCGCAGACGTCGCGACAAAACTCAGTCGTTGCCTAGGAACAACCGGGAAACGAGACGGCGTGGGATACACCACAGGCCGGTACATTATCTGAGGTTGCATAGGCGTAGCGGCAACGATCGATGATTGCCTCGTCTTCGAAGCAATCGCAGACTTGGGGACAACCATCGGTGGTTGCCTCGAGGACGATGCTGCCACAGGCGTCGGAATAATCATCGGTAGTTGCCTCGACGACGATGCTGCCACATGCGTCGGAACAACCATCGGCGGTTGCCTCGACGACGATGCTATCACAGACGTTGGAGTAACCGTCGATGGCGATTGCCGGGACGACGAGGCGACCTGCGAAGATCGACACGGCGTCGAGGCAAACATCGAGAATTCTCGAGACGACGACGCGATGGGAGACGCCGAAAGCGACGCGACAGGAGACGTCGACGTCAGATTTAGTAAAGCTGCCAATGAATAATTTTTACCTTCGATAAACGGAATATGCTTGAAGTTAAACTTTTTTTTTTAAATAAAAAGATTTCTGAATTTTAGAATCTTTAAAGAATAGACGACTAGAGTTTGACTTATATATTTTAACCTCCGGTTTAACCGAAGACCAAATTTAATTTCCGTACGCCAGTCGAAGACACTTGTTCTGTATTATTTGCAATTTTTTGAAATGTGAATTGGCCATCGAGCAGAAAACTGTACATCCATACGTTAGTATAGGCCTTAAGACCTGTTTGTACAAAAGGATTTTGTTATTGACTGTAACCCCACTCCTACGGTGCAGCATGGGGTAAAGCATCCTGAAAGCCCCCATTGTCTTGGCTATTCTTTCATCTATGAGGTCTAAAGCGCAAACTTTTATGTTTGTGATGATAGGGTCCAGTCTCCTGCGAGACAATATAAGACTTTCCGTTTTCGTAGGATTGATTTTGATTTTATTTGCCTCTAGATAGGGGAGAAGTATTCTGTTTGTATGGATATCCAGCCTTCTGGCCGCGATTTCTGCAGATTTTGAAGATTTAAAGATACAAGTGTCATCGGCGTACAAGGCCGTCTGTATACCATTATGTCCCATTGGTATGTCATGGGTCATAATAGTATACAGGTGCGGCGCAAGTACCGAACCCTGAGGTACTCCCGCTTTAACCGTGTATGGTCCGTTAATGTTATTATTGATTTTAATGTGAAACAGTCTGTTTTGTAAGTATGTTTGTATTGTTTTTACAATGAAAACGGGGTAGTCATTCATAAACATTTTGTGTATTAATCCATCGGTCCAGACGGTGTCAAATGCCTTCGCAGCATCCAGCGCAACAAGGACAGTCTTTGACTCTTGATTGTAGCCTTTAAAGGCGTGGTGGGCAATACGGATGATTTGCGCAACGGTGCTGTGTCCGGCTTTGAAACCGTACTGTTCCGATGGAATAATTTGTTTGTCTTATTCGTATGTAAGAATTCTATTGAGTATAACTCTGTCTGTGATTTTGGCTAGGCCATTCAACAACGAGATGGGGCGATAGCTTCCTATTTCCGTTTTGCTTTTGCCTGCCTTGTGAATTGGCACTGTTTGCAATTTTAAATTTAGGTGGGTGCCATTGAATTTTGAGCATCGCATTTATGAGATAATGGAGTTGCACAATTGATTTTATAGAGAGATTTTTTATAAGTTTGTTATGTATGCCATCGAGTGTAGCAAGTGATGTTGGTTTTACTTACCGTGTTTTAGCTCAATTTTAATTAGGGTCGTGAGCAGCACTTAATAACCTTGACAAAACTCAACTATAGGAAAGGTATGGAGGGCGCCACCAAACTTACATAAACATATCATTTAAGGCGAATTATAATAGTTTGGCAAATATAATTAATATGACTGATGTTAAAACAGAATGTATATGTTTATGCAGGCAAGTAACAATTACAATCTACACAAGCCATGATTAATTTAAATTACTTCTTTATTTAACTTTTCAAAGATAAAAAATGAAACTTATCTCAAAGTAGGAATGGTGTTAGGTCTTTAATCTTTCTCAAATAAGGACGGTCTTCTACAGCGATGCGTCTTCTTCTAATTATAAATTAACATGTTTGTAACCATAACTTCAACTATCTTCTAACCATAAATCAACATATTTGTAATCATAACTTCAACTGTCTTCTAACCATAAATTAACATATTTGTAACCATAACTTCAACTAATTTCTCAGCGTCTGTTTAAAAAACATATTTTAACTGTCTTCTCAGCGTTTGTTAAAAAAAAAACCATCCAAAGGTTGACTTATCTAAAAGATTGAGACCTTTTTGAAGTTTACGTAATAAGGAAAAATAAGGAATAAGAAGGTAAGATGTTTCTGAACACATAATGAATAAAAAAATAATCTTTACAGAAATTAATGACACGTTCTAAAACATCTAACTTCACATTTTTAACAACTAAATAAATCTCGATCCATTTCGTTAATCTTTGCAGAAATCTTGTAAATATTAATCTTTTACTCACCATGAAATACTGATAGTTCTCACCACTAATAAAAATACCACATACTGTTTAAGATTACTTAAATATTAGCAGATTTAATAATCTCGACTGCCTCGTTCTGAGGTATTATTGTAAAAGACTTTTTCAAGTAATACCTGTCGAAATTCACTTTCGATCCGAACATACAACTTATAAAAAACAAAAAATAACTATATAAAATATTTGTAGCGAAAGAATGAAACTATCGGTCCTAATAGAGATGGGACAATCATTTTAAAAATATAGTTATAAAATATTAAAAAATAACGGTACTAGAAGAGTAACCGTTACACGAGACCTGGAGCCCTCTTACTAGGGGTCTTTCTAATGATATCCGCGATTTCTTAAGGAGTAGTGAGTGCTGAGGGGGGGACATTCTGTATTTCCATATCTTGAATGTCTCTGACAATATTTTCAATGTTATTTTGTTCGGCGTTATTCATTTGTGGGTTAATAAAATTATTCTGGAAAAATTCGCCGAATGCACTTCCCTTTTGTGTGTCCGTTGTAAAAGTTCTGTCATTTTGTCTCAGTGTGGGAAGCTGAGAGAACGGTTTCTTAAACCTCCTCACAATTTTCCACACTGAGTTGTCATGTACGTTGACTGATTCAAGAGTACGACGCCACTGTGCATTTCTGTAGAGTTTGATTTCGTGATTTATGTGCTTTCCGATGTCTGGTAGTCTTACTCTATCCTCAGCCAACCTGTGCGTCTGCCATCGCCTTCGTAGGTAATTTTTGTTATTGATTAGGTCCAATATCTCTTGAGGGAGATCATCTTCATACTGTTTTCGCGTGAATAATTTAGTTGAGAGGTTTCTTGCAGTGATTATGGCTTGTGTAAGTTCATCAAATTCTTCCTCAAGAGATATTTTGTCTGTAATGTTGTTTGTAATGTCTATGTGATTGTCTAGTGTGTTTCTGTATTTTTTCCAGTCAGTCTTGTTGTAGTCATGGAATTGACCTTGTCTTCTTGGGATTATGCGAGTTGTTCTAATCTCCAGGTAGACAGGATCGTGATCGGATGTGAGGGTTTTGATGGTTCGTATGTTGTCGATGTTGGGAAGGTTTTTGGCGACGGCAATGTCCAGTGTGCTAGGAGTTTGTCCTTGTGCAAAAGGAAAGTGCGTAGGTTCGTTAGTATAGTGTATTATAATATCATTTTTTTCGGCGAATTCCTCCAGATTTCTACCGTTTTTATTGGAGTTTATACAATTTGCATCCCAGCGCGGGTGTTTGCAGTTTAAGTCCCCCAGCAATAGGACTATTACCCGATGACCTAATAGTATTTAGTTCGATTTTATTTAGAATATTGTTAGGGTGATTATATGCTCCTACCATAATGATTTTATCTATTTTAATAACTATGTGCTCTTGTGTGATATTTAATTGTGGTAATCGCGTGTGATCTAAATTATTTTTAATTAGGAAAGCTACCCCACCTCCTTGCTGGAGCCTATCCTGTCGTATGACATAATATCCTTGTAATTTGAATGTGATTGTCGGTTTGTAGTTAGTCTCTGAAAGGAATATGATGTCGAAATTATGTTTATGAATGAAACTGCGAACAAGTGCGGTTTTGTTGCGCATCCCATTCGCATTGTAAAAACAAATTTTGAGTTTGTGATTGTCATGTGAGTGAAGCTCAGTTCCTAATGTTGAAATTACAGTCTACGTCTGACATGAATGCGTTATATGTTTCAATAATGTCCTGTCCACAATTACAAAGTTTTAGCTGTGCATTCAATGCCTTTAATGCTCTAAATTGACTAACCTATTTAATTCAGCTAGCTCCCGATTTAGGGCCGTTAAATCGCTCATGGCAACTCCTTGAGTATTTTGTCTTGGTGGATCATTTTTGCTAACTTCAATTCTGGTGTTTTCTGCTTGATTTTTACTCGGTAGTGCTGGGAAATTATCATTCAGCCTATTATATTTCTCGGTTTGGTTTCTGGCATTCCACTGGTTGATTTTTGGGATGGGGGCGGGTACAAACTTCCGCTGTGGGAGTGGCCTCCTTGTTTCCATTCTTTGCAGTCTTTCTAAGTAACTTTTGCACTTAGTATAGTTGGCAGGGTGATCACCCCCGCAATTCACACACGTCGCTGGCGTTTCTCTAGTTTTGCTGCAAGTACGCGTGTGGTGATCACCCGCACACTTTACACATCGTGAAGGTTTGCCACAATTGGCGGTGGCATGTCCCCACTCCTGGCAGTTGTGACACTGAATTACTAGTTTTGTGGATTTTCGCAGCTCCCACGTAACACGGGTGTACAAAACTCTTGTTGTGTTTTTATTCAAGTAATCCAGCGTCAAAGCCGGGTCTGTGACTACCAGGAAGAGGGGACGTTCCTTGGTGTTCATTTGATATATCTCACGCGCTGTAATCTCGTGTTATTCCTCAAGGTTTTCTTTGAGATCTTGGATTTTTGTTCCTTCAGCGAGTCATCTCAATACAAACGCGTGAGATTTATCATTGTTTGCCGTGTAAGTATGGAATGCAATTTTTTCAGATCGTACATTGTTTATGACCTTGTCATAGTCCTCCTTTTTATCGACAAAGAGGATTGTTGTGCGGTTAGTATGCTTGATACTAAAATCCCCTTTGACGATAGCTTTTATGTCCTGTATCAGGCCCGCATGATTAGAGGTTTTGCCGTCAATTACTATGGGCGGCATTGACGACTTTTGCTTGGTAGTTGTGGTGTTTGTCTTATTAGTGTTGACGTTACTGGCTCATTTTGTGTTACTATTGTTTGCGTTAGTATCTGCGGCTTTAACTGCTGTGCTCGTGGTAGCTTCTTCCTCTGTGTATGGTCGAAATTTGGCGCCTTTCTTTTTCTTCTTTTTCACAATCTTCCCTATCTCGTCATCTATCTTAGATTCATCTGTTAGGACTTCAAAAGTATTTTGTGTTGGAGTGATGGTTTTTGCGGCCTTTTCTCGCACTAACTTTTGAAAGTTACTGCTGAACTTCCTAGGTGCTATGAATGGATCTTCCTCGTTTAACTTCCTGATGTCTGCCTCTTTGTGTAATTCCACAAAGCGAGCTCTTTCTGCAGCTGTTTTGGGTTCGAATAGTGAGTTGGGAGAGTGGGGAAGATTATCAAACCGCTTTCTATGTGCATCAGCCTCTTTTCGTTCCTCTTCAGAGGTAACGCTGGCTGAATCAAAGTCGAGGATCTTTTTTTCTATGGATTTGGGTATTTCTCCTGTACTCACATGTATTTTTATGCGAGGATCACTATTCTTCTAATAGTGCCAGTAGAAGAAGTGGATACGATAGGAGTAAACGTAGTGGAGAACGTGCAGGATGAGGCTGTAGTGGATTGTACAGGCACAGAGCTACTCAGTTCACCCCGATTTTGTACAAAACCTACAGCTCCTGCAGTACTTGAAGGCATTGTATATACCGGTTGCGTGTTACCCATGTGAATGAAATTCCCGAAATTCATTTGCCTAGCTACTACATTAGATGGTAGGGGTAATGTTTTAATTTGTAAGCTAGGGGGGTTATTCGCCGAATCCAACTGGTATTGGGATATGAAGTTATCTGATGTTTTACCCTCCTCTTGGTCTTTGTTTTCTACCGTATTTTCCAACCCTGTGTCCATTGACTCTTGCGAGTTATCAGTGGTATTAAGCGAGTTATCAGAGTTTTCAAGTACACTTATAATACTTTCAGCCGTATTATAGGCATATTTTCCCTGTTTATCTGGAATAGGGCTGTCTGTAGGGTTTTCATGGCTATCATAAAAGCTATTATCATCGGACCCAGCAACCGACTGCTTTCTAGAGGCTGTATCCCCGTCCTCAGGGGTTGAATGCATTGTAGTGCCTTCTGCTAGCCGTTCAGAGTGTTCACGGTCATTTGAAGGGCATTCGTCGGAAATTTTGACCGGGGAGTCCTCCTGAGGCCGGACAATGACCTCGGGGTTAGATGTAAACTGAGAAAAAGTGTCTCTACTCACGGTTTGGTTGTTTAATTTCTTCTTGGCCTTAAAGTTTTGAGGTGAATGTACATTTGCAAGTTTCAGGACCTTCTCTGTGTTCAACCGGCATCTATTTTTGATTCTTTTGGAATAAAGAGTTTCAAAACCTTTGGTAGGTGTTGTGATGGCCCCTTTGGGCTCGGACATAAACCGATATCCCTCTCTTGTTTGAGGGTACTTACACTGGCGGGACTTTGATTATAATGTAGGAAAAGATATACTGAATATAATTTATTAAGACAACTGACAGCTGACGTTTGGGTAAACAAAAGTTGTACGCTTCCACGCAAACGATTCCTAGGACAGTCCTAGGTAAACTGTCCGCCGAATCAACATAAGTACGTTAAAAATTAACCTAAGATCTATCGAATTTAAGAAAGCAAATGCTGCTTTATATTTTAACTGAGTTGAAAAAATTTTGCCCTTATAGCATTCGGCAAAGTTCCGACGTCATACAAAAACCGACTCCAAATTGAAAATCTCTCTGGGTTCGTCACTATAAGTGGTAGTCTGACAGTCGGCAAAAGAACGGCTGGCAGATGAGACGTCGTGGCAAACGTCACAGGTCGGTGCAATGTCCGAGGTTGCATCGGCGTCGAGGCAACGTTTGATGATTGCCTGGTCGTCGAAGCAACCGCAGACGTCGCGACAAAACTCAGTCGTTGCCTAGGAACGGCCGGGAGACGAGACGGCGTGGGATACACCACAGGCCGGTACATTATCCGAGGTTGCATAGGCGTCGTGGCAACGATCGATGATTGCCTCGCTGACTTGGGGACAACCATCGGGGGTTGCCTCGAGGACGATGCTGCCACAGGCGTCGGAATAATCATCGGTAGTTGCCTCGACGACGATGCTGCCACATGCGTCGGAACAACCATCGGCGGTTGCCTCGACGACGATGCTATCACAGACGTCGGAGTAACCGTCGATGGCGATTGCCGGGACGACGAGGCGACCTGCGAATATCGACACGGCGTCGAGGCAAACAACGAGAATTCTCGAGACGACGACGCGATGGGAGACGCCGAAAGCGACGCGACAGGAGACGTCGACGTCAGATTTAGTAAAGCTGCCAATGAATCATTTTTACCTTCGATAAACGGAATATGCTTGAAGTTAAACTTTTTTTTTAAATAAAACGATTTTTAGAATCTTTAAAGAATAGACGACTAGAGTTTGACTTATATATTTTTACCTCCGGTTTAACCGAAGACCAAATTTCTATATCGCTAACATTTAATTTTTTATTTTTAGTGTTCACGGTAATATCAAGGTGATTATTAAATGAAAAATTATTTGAAGCCAAAGAACCACCTGACTGTTCCAACCTCGATTTTTTATTTTCCGGCATTTGAATATCCGAACCTTCTTCTACTTTAATATTACTAATATCTATAAACGAATTTTTATTATTTAGGAAAGTGATGCTATCATTATAAACGTGATCGCCGTTACCGCCATCGTCTCCAGCAGAAGGAATTAATATGTTTAAGAGAAAATCATCCGCCGAATCAAAAAAGCTACTGTTATCCATGATGACGATGATTTTATAACTAAAAGTAAATTATAATAATTTATTTATTTATTTTATTTATTTTTTTTGTTTTTACTATATATTTATTTGTTAAATGAATCGCCCTCTATATTAAACTGATTCAAAAAAATCAACTATTTTTTCTCTTAAATATATGAAGGGTCCACTGCAAAAACCATCAAGGTCCATTGGACAAATTTTTTCAGGAGAGCAAAAACAAAATTTCAAGTGCCCTAATGATAATGTACAAATACTTAAGTTTCAGAAAATAATACATAATTATATTTAGAACATTTATTTACCAAAAGAACAAAAACAAAATGTTTTGCTAAATTTAAAGTTATGAAAAAACGTTTTTTAAATCAGTCTTCATCGTCAATTGGGGGGTCGTCGATATACTCTGGGTCTTCATCATTGTTTTGCACGTCTGGAATTAGATTGTCATAGAAATCCCTTGCACTTGGATTTGTCAGAAATTGCTTCAGATGCTGCAAATCTCGATACTTTGCAGCTTTTATAGGAACATTTCCAGCATACAAGGTTCGAAGTTCCCCAGAGCCTTGATTCCTAGCAGATGATGTACTTCCAGTAGTTGGCTTTCTTTTTCTTATAGCTCGTGGGGTAATAGAAGCACTTAAGTATGACCCATAAAATGTCGTTTTATAAAAAACCAGATTCTTAGAGGTTGCTTCAAATTTTAGAATGCGGACTTGTCTGGTTGGAAATGGACATTTCGGACAATAAAGAGTAGATAGGTATTGAGTCCATGTTTCAAATCTTATTTCTTGAGAACAATCTATTACCAAAAATGGGGGCGATTTTTTCCTACTGTTTCTCAAAACTTCTCTCCAATCTTCTGGCATCTCAGTTATTGTTTTTTGGTTAACAAGACTCATGTCTCTATCACACTCCAGGTAACTATGACCTCTAACTGGGAATATTACCTTTATATTGTCAAAACGATTAGTTTGTCTAACAATATGATGGTAGTACCGAATGAGGGTATAATTTTTATTTTGTCCTGCGCAGGAATCACAGAAAATCGCTAAGTTTCGAACTTCCGGGGACAAAATTTCATGTAAAAAATGGTTGAGCATGGAGCATACATCATCTGCTCCTTTTTTGGCCACAGATTCGTCATAAGTGTAAAAGACAACTTTTGAGTTAGATAGCACATGGATAGTAAAACTGATGAAGTTTAGTTGTCTACGATAATATACATCGTTAGTTGAAATATTTGGACACGGCAAATTTTTTTGAAAATCAATAACTATTGCTTCCATGTCGTGGGACCTCTGCGCATTTTTTCTGAATTTCCTCTTAAGGGAGTAAAATTTTTCAGCTTTTTTCAAATGGAGCACCTTTTCCTTAGATTTAACTTCAAGTTTCTGAGCCACATTCTTTCTCTCATTATCATCACTGCAGTTCGTGAGTTTAGTTTCAAGAGCAGTTAACTCTACCTTGAACACGTCGCATGTGCTACAGGTATCCTTTCTTGGATACCCAAACGCAATATTGAACTTTGTTTCAAAAATATTCCTGAATTTTTCATAAGATACCTTGTGGTTTACGTTTTTTTCTGTGTACATATCAAACAATTTTTTTATGTTCAAATCTTCAGGTAAATATATTTTCTTACTATCGTGCAAGGAATAATGAGACTTCCTACCCTTCAGTGAAGCCAGAAATTCTTCAATTTTGGCAGTGGTTTCTTCAGGTAATTTAGTCCAGTGGTTGCCATGTTTTCCTCGCTGATCAGGTCTTAACTCTCCCAAGAATGCCAATGACTATCGTATGTGTTGTATCCTACTTACAGAGACTCCGTGAATAGCCATAAAAGCTTTATAACACACCCTTATATCCTGAATAGCACCATCTATATTTGCTCGAACGCGATACGCATATGACGCATGATTGAAACGAGTATCACTGTCATCTTTTCGACCACGCCTACGTTGTACTGGCAAAACTGCAATGAGGCCACCTAAATATTTATTCTGATCATCGTAGTTCCCGAGTTCGTTAAACTGTCTTATTATTGTCATCCTGTTTTCGAGAGTAACAGTTTGAAAACAATGGTATCTCACGCAATTACAGTCTCCTCCCAATTCGTGTGTAGACGCTCGCAACTTCTTCATAACATGACTCATATTGCCAGATTTCTTACGTTTTTTCGTAGTTTTGAGAGACTGACACTCCTCTTCAACACCACTACTATCGGAATAATCACTGTTCATATTAAATAAAGAAAAACTATCGGTTGAATCAATAAAATGAAAGGCTCAGATAGTACTCTATACACTGCTAATAACAAACTGATAACTAAAACTTTGAAGCCAGATGCTATCGCCTCGTGGTGGACTCTGATGTTTCTTTCCAACAACCGCTTGGACTCTGATGTTTATTGCATTGTATGGCCTACTTTTTAAATGCGTTTTCAAAGTAACCGTGATGGTTTTTTACTGTTTCTTCTTCTCACATGATACTATTCCCTAATCAACGGCAGATGTCATTGAGATCTCAAAATAGACCAAAAGTGGACCTTGATGGTTTTTGCAGTGGACCCTTCATATAGAAAGTATTGTTGGAAACTGGAGCACTTAGAAATTTTTAAAGCTCATTTTCGTGATTAATGAACATATTTAAGGTATTTGAGATATAAAAAAAGTTTCTAAAAATTAAAGTTTAGAAAATAAGGTGAAAATTTATCGAGACGAAATCTTCGATCCATAAAAAAATTTATTTTCCAAACGGTAGACTAATTATGAAATTTAGATTCGTGGAGTATCTTAGAATGTCATGAAAAGAAAGAAAATGATTTTTTTTATCATTTCCAACAATACTTTCTATATATTTAAGAAATTTTTTTGATTCAATCAACTCTATATATTAGAATTTTAAATAAA